AGCAACATACTGTTGAGCACCTGGTATCCAGCCAGGGTCAACCCACCACATCTGCTGTGATCCAGCCGCTGCTACTCTCAGTGCAACCTAGCTGTTCTCACCCACCCCCATACTGCTGGTGGTGGTGTTGCTGAGCTTCCTCAAGCATGCATATGTAGTAATACTAATGTATAAATTACTATTTTCAGAGCTGTTTCACAGAAGTTGACTAAAGCATGGTAATTACTTACTTATTGTGTTTCTTTATCCTCCCTTTGCTATGCAAATAGCAAGGGGGAAATTCTAGCCCCAGTGAATTGAAATGGCAAAGCCCTGAGTGCTCTGACCCATGTGTGCATGTGACACTTGAAGGACAGGAACAAGAGGAGCCTGACATTTTGCAAAGAAAGCAAAACACACTGAAATGTTTAGCATTCTAATTGGCACTAACTGGGACATGAAAGCACTGCAGCAGCTGTGCGTGCAGGAAGAACAGCAGGACATCTGCTTCTGCATCCCTTCTCACCTGGACAAAGGGCAAGTGAAGAAGTACTATAGGAAGCTGGAAAGAACTTGGGAGGCAAATAGTGACTAGTGTGAGATGCAAAAGAATGGCAAGGGAGAAGCTGCAGAGTAGACTGAGTGGCCACTGGCGTTCATGGTTCTGAGGGGAGCAGTCTGGCCATGATGAGTAAAGGAGAGAGCCTTCCTGTGAATTACGCTTTGCTGCTTGGGTATTGCTGTGCTGGGAAGCAGGGCAATCAGTTATTGAGCTTATTCTCCTTTTGTGGAAAAAAGAGTGGAGCAAGAATATATTCTGCTGTTAATTTATGTACTTGATATGAAGGATACTTTGTGCTATGGTCCTTTTAAAGTCTGTCTGTAGCTCCCTTTAAGCTGATACTACTGTCAAATTCTAGTTTTTGTTCATGAGGCAGCACTGAGAAGCCTTCCTGACAGCTTCTGGAAGGCTGTTGTGACTGTCTACATCTCCCCACAGAGTTTCTGCTGCATGGGAAATCTTCCATTTTCTTTCGGAAAAAACTGACACAGTTTAATATGTTCTAATGGCTGCCTCAAGACTGAACTATGTGAAAAGCTCTGTACTAGGCTACAGCTCATTTTGAAAAGTCTGTGTTGCTCCCTGCACAGAGATCTGGGAACAGAACCTCAGAAAGAGAATGGGAGGGTTCTAGAGTGCATTAAGATGTGATGCACCCAAGTATCTCTTCTATCCTTCTTGTATATTCCTTTTGCTGTTATACTTTGATCTCCTCTGTCTCCAGCTTTGATGTATTCCAGCTGTGTTTTTCAGTGCTTTCTGGTTTCACTGTAAAAGAGCAAAGATGCTAGTTTCTCTTGCAGGGAGGAGTGGAATGGAATGCAACAGGATGCTGCAGGACTCACTTTGGCTTTCCCAGAAAAGTTTTTAAGATGGAAAATCTAAAGTTGTAAGATGGCTGCTTACTTCCCACTGCTCTCTCATGGAAAAATGCCAAACTAGAGTGCTTCATGTGCTCCTTTTTTTTTGTGAAGGGTTTTGTGAGGTTGGGTTTTGTCAACTATAAATAATAGAATTCCACAAAAAATATAACATTCCTGTTGAATTCCACCCTGAGAATTAAATTTAACTATTGCCAAACATAGATGGGATTTGGCTTTTATTTGCTGTCTTGGTACTTGCATATTTGAGGTAAGCCAGATGAAATTAGCAAAGCTTAACATGTCAATTTCCAAGCTCATTAAGTTACCAGATGTAAAATTTTCAGAAGTGTATTAAGTCAGGTGCAGAAAACTGTTCCATCCTTTTGTTGTTCTTGAACATAACAAAGTTTGTTTTCCATCAGCACCTAAGTAGAAGATTTTATTGGACTTGTAGGCTTCTGCTGATACCCAAGATAGGACACGAAGCACCTAAATTAGTTTAATTCATCCTCTGTTAGTTATGTGAAATTCCATCATGATCATGAATCTGCAGTGTTTCAGATGACTATGGAGATTCTACAAAGACTGAAAATATTGTTGGAAATATGAAGCCAGCCCAGGGGGTATAGGGTGTGTGAGAGCTTCCAAATGACAATTACTGTCACTGTACTGCAGAATTCTCTAAATTACTGTTTAAATCACTTATATAGCTGTGCCTTTAAGTTAGAAACATATTTAATTTCAGCTCTTACTAACCTTCTATCCAAATAGAAACTATTTCCAAACAGTTTCTTGGTGTCCCTTCCTTACTCTGGCCATACTCTTCACATTCTCTGGTTCTCAGGACAAAGGCGTTTTTCTTTATGTTGTAAAGAACTCCACAGAGCCTGACATTATTTTCAGCCCTCAGAGTACTGTTTCTTCCTGTTTGTCTAACACATCAGTCAGTTACCGAAAACAACTTTTAGACTCAAACAGTATGCAAAACTCAAACTGGCTTAGCTATCCATTTTGCTCTTGAAGTTTAAATGAGCTCATTAGTAGCTCTGATGCAAGAATACTCACAGCAGGAAAAAGAAATCTCACTTCTTATATTCAAATTCTGTATTTAAAAAAATGGTAACCTGTTTTCAGTAGCTTTTCAGTAGCTGAGTCAGGTGGTTAAAAATACAGGTGACCTTGTAAGCTTTCTTTGAAACAAACCTTAAATGTATCTCAAATGGCTCTTGTGCACTTCAGCACAAGGCTCAAGTCTATTTTATCTTCACTCTCTAGTTGTATACTGGTGAGTTGTATACACTCTCACCAGTTGCATTGCGGCTTTAGAGAGCACATTCAGAGTGTGTTCTTCAGAATACCAAAAAGCTACCAACACATCAGTAGATATATGGTAAAGGCCCCAGGTCAACTTACTTGCAGGATCACTTGATCCTGCATTGATAGTCTTGCATCTCTTTATTGAAAGCCAGTAACTTTGCATGGGTTAAAGGTAAAACTAATAAAAAAGTAATGTTTCTTAACTACAGGTATCAAGACAACTCTCACCTCTTCTGTGCAGTGATATCAGCCTCTTCATTTTTTATTTTTTTTTATTAATTTTGCATTTGGCACCTGTATTTTAAAACCTTTCCTCAAACAACAGATGGTTGTTGTATCATCCAATGTGTTATGAAAACAATTTAGGTTCCAAGGTTTTTAGAGGGGGTTTTGGGGTTGCTTTTGCCCCCCCCCCCCTTTTTTTTTTCTTTCCTGAGGGCCTCACTCCACTGAAAAATTGCCAATCGGTATGATCTTTTTTAATGCACCATTTTTCTCATAGTGCACCCTTAGTTTTCTATTGCACAAGTATTTTATAAAATGCTGCTTACAGAATGTAGAATAGTGCATTTGATGATTGTGTGCTGCCTGTACACATTTCCTGTACGACACAATCTCCATGGAGTGTTTTTTCACCCTACACAGAGTGCATCATTAATTAAGTCTCAAAGGTGTGCATAAATATAATGTACGTGGGTGGCTGTAACTGCTCTGTATAAGCTGGTGCTAGTGGAAGCAGGAGCTTGTGAAAGCCACTGTTTTTACCGTCTACACTATGAGGATTTCATGGGACTTCTCAGCAGAGCACGTTTCCTCTCTGCAGCGGATGTAAAGGCTTGAGACTGTGCAACCACCGTGAGTACCAATGAAGTGCTGCCATGAGTGGAAGGGGCCGTCACTCCCCTGGGTGAGGCTGCCCGCTGCTGCTTGGCGTAACAAACTTTTAATTGAGTCGACGTAGGGCTGGTGCGGTGCCCGCCGTGCTGCCAAACTGCTCAGGAGGGTTCTGACCGTATCTCTGCCCGCTCCAGCTGCTTCCTGCACCGGGCTACCGGGGAGACCCCGGACCCCGCTCGGGGCCCCTGTCCGGTGCCGGGCTGTGATGGCCGTGGCGGGCCTCGCTGTCCTCGCCTTCGGAAACCGCAGAGGAGACACTTTCCTCCCGGGGGCGCTCTCGAACGAAGGCCGCCTTGGAGAGCGCGCGGGTCCCGTCAGGCCGCGCCACGACATCGCAGCCCGTCCCGGCCTCTACTAAGCGACGGGACCCTCGCGGGCCCAGCACAGCTCGGGGCCGCACTTGGAGCGGGTTTTGTTGCCGACTCCCGGGGGCTTCGCGGGCCCCCGCAGTGGGAGAGGCATCCCCCACCGAGACAGGCGCCCACCAAGCTGCAAACTACAGCTCCCAGCAGCTACCGCGCGGGGTGGGCCTGCGTCAGCTCCGCGCGCGGGGTGGGCGCATGCGCGGCTGCGGCGCTGTCGGTTGAGTAACGCGGGTTGCGATTGGCTGCGGGTGGTGGCCGGGCGTGGGACGCGCAGTGACGGAAGGAGCGGGGCAAATGGCGGAGAGATGGTCCTGGGCCCCGTCCCGAGAGCGGCGATAATCCCGGCGCGGAGGAAGCGGCGCCGGAGGAGGCGGCGCCGGGGCCCCTAACGCCCGCGCCACCCTGGGAGGCTGCCACCGCCGCCGGGGAGCAGGCGGAGGTGTCCCGTCGGAGAGCGCCTTTCGCAGGCGGCAGATCGGCGGCCAGAAACCGCGGCGAGAGCTACATCCGCGGCGCCGCCCGGAACGCGCAGGCCCAGCACCCACCGCTCGCTTGCCCGCCCGCCCACCCACACCTGCTGCCACGACCGACGCCGAGGTAGGTGCCGGGCGAGGAGCGGCTGGGGGACGCCCGCTCGGCGCCCGAGGCCTGTGCGGGCCGCGGAGCAGGCCCTTACGCCCCGGCGGGCAGGAGCCTCCTGCCGCTGTCCCGCTTCCGGGGCGGTGGCGGCGGGGTGCGTGGGGGAGCCGCGGCCGTCCCTGGCCCGCCGGGAAGTTTTCGTTGCGGTAGTCGCGGGACTTTGGTCGAGTGTTAAGTGCGGGCTAGGGCCCGCGGGAGGGGGGAGGATGCGGCCTGCAAGAGCGGCGGATGCCGGCGGGCTCGGTCGTTTCCCCGGACCGAGGGCTGCCCTGCGGCCCGTGGACTTGTGTAATGGGGGTTGGTTTTCTTTCGGGGCGGGGAGAGGGAGCCATGGAGGAAGGGAAATGACATCAGAAATGGCCGGCTTGCACGGTGGGGTGACCCGGTTCCGCTGGCACCCCTTTCCCCCAGCCGCAGGGGGAGGGAGGAAGAAAAGAAACTGTCACCGTGGGATTTCATCAGCTTCTTCTGCCTGCGTGCATTTAACCTATTTTCCTTTACTTTGGTTATGTAAGAGGAGCGGTGTAGCGAGGAGCGACCAGTAGGGATGGCCTGTGGGCTTTCTGGGGAATCGCCGGGGTCTTTTATGTTTAGCTGGTCCGCCGAGTTAGCGCCGGCAAAAGCACTGACGTGTATTTACATTTCTTGCACTGCTCCAGGTATCGCAGCAAAGTACAGGAGAGAGGGGCAGGGAGTAGAAATAGAGGGAATTTGGTCGAGTTTGTTATTTCACACTGAGTGAAAAGCAAGAGGGAATTTTAAGTGAAGTGTCAAAATCCTCATCTGTTGATATTCTCGTGCAAGGAGGTACCTGCGTGTTTCCTTATCTTTAATCTCAATCTAAGATGTGAGTTTATAGCACGGTGTATTTATAGGCTTTTGGATACTCACCTTTTAATCTGTTTACGTATTTATTTTATTCTATTTTCACAATCTTTACTTACAATTTACAATATTTATTAGAGTTTTGACGTTTTGATTCAAAACTCCGTATGAGACAATCTTAATTATTAAACTTAGAAGTAGGAAAATGTGATGAGAGGAGCTCTAATATCTGAAAACAAAGTTCTCTTCACTACAGGAGTCTTTTTAAAACTGCAGGCCACGAGTCATAATCTAAATCTGCCATTTACAGATGCTGGAAATGGATAAATTGAAATAGTTGAGTCAGGGTGTAGGGGAGGGCAATGTGCTGAGTGAAGTGTTTAGGCTTTTTTTGTAATAGTTGTAGAGGAATGGAGATGTTAAATATTTCACTTCAGTTTCTATAGCTTTAAAACTTGGTATTTCTGGTATAAAATATCTGTTAGAACTATTTCAAGCATTGACAAAATAAAACTAGTAAATTTGATTTATTTTGCTGTTTGTTGTCTACAGTATGTAGGGAAGTCTTAGTTTCACTCTTGAATGAAAAACAGGAAGTTAGAGCTAGTTACAGGGGGCAAAAAAAAAGAAAAAGTTTGGCTATGATGGGTTTGGAGCAAGTCAACACTGGAGGAGAAAGGATGGAGATGGGGTTAAAGGGTAAGGCCTACTGGGAGCAACCAGAAGGAATCTGCAGAATGGTGTTTTGCAGACTTGTTGTCAGTAGATAAGCACATGCCTTTACTGTCCAGCTGCTAACCTGCTGAGGAGAAGTGCTTCCGAAAGTGGTGACTCCTGTATCTCTTCTGCCTTGCAGTACCATCCACCTGGTAAACTTCTGAAGTTCAAATTTGATACTTTTAATTCACTTAAAATTTGCTCAAGGATAGGTGGCCTGATGAATTCTCAGTTCATATGATAAGTGAAACTTGGCTTCTTCTGATAAAGTAGAATATTATTAAGTGAGACAGTCTTTCCAGAATGAAGTGGTAGAATGGCTTAGTCTTGGCAGAAGCTGGTCTGGCACTTCAGGTTGAGAAACTCTGAGTGTTGAGAGGAAAACTAAAATATGGAAGACTGTATACCACATATTTTGGGAAATAATAATAGTAAAACCAGATGTTTTGAACAAATAGGTCAAGTGATAAGTTTATTAACCATGATTTTAAATGCTATTTTTCATATACTTTATGTGAAGGCAGTTGACGTTTGAAGAGTTGGGTTTCCTTGGCTCTGTATCTTAAATACATGCCCCCTTTTCAACAGATGTTTTGCCGGTACGGAGAGTAATTTCAGAGGGAAAGATGGACTTGATTAGATTCAGACTGACTGTAAAGGATTCCAATTTCCTATTCATGTTCAGGCCAAACAGGAAAAAAGAGTGCTGGTTTACAAAACAGATATGATCATTTTCTTTTTATGTTGTCTTTTGTTCAGTAGCTTGAGTATTTGTTTTGGGGAAAAAGAAACAAAGTGGTTTGTCTTCTTGAGTTAAGCAAAAGTAGGAATAGAACACATGTAGGGAACTTTTTAAATGTGTTCCTGTTTCATCTGTTCATATTTAAACTTTATTCCTCTGAGAGACCAAACTGAATTGGGCTAGAGTTGTAACAACCAGTCAACAATTGTGGTTTATGCTGGTCCACACAAGGAGGATTCCTCCATGTTCTTAGAAATGGATTGAGAAATGTCTTTGTTGCTGTCCCTTGATCAATTGGATTTACTCATGGGGGATTGTTACGTTCCAGTCTTTACCGTGGCTGTGCAGATGGCATAAACCACATCGTGTTACAAATAATATGATTGCTATGTATGTCTGAGTGTGCAAGAAGAACATGAGTTGGAGTTGTCATAATAGTTTGTAATTAACATCTAAAATATTTACAGCAACTTGAAATATTCTGACAGTTTTTTTTGATTTAACTGCAAAGAATCTTTTAAAGCCATACTGTGCTGTTCGGCTCTAGCAGAGAGCTGCATGTTCAGATGTGGTGAAAATACTGCTTAGTTTTCTGTTGGTGTTTCATGAAAGCAGTGCCATGTACAAAATTAGAGCAAAGCAATAAAAAAAATGATGTGTTTCTAGCACAGTATTTTTTCATTGTGCCATTGTTTTATAAATGTGCAAGTAACTGAATTTTGAGTTAATTTGGTAGATACATATTGCAGAAACTTTTGACATAATGACAATCACATGTAAATGAGTTGGTCTAGAGAGAAAATCAGATGATGTATCTGTTATTCATGTGAAGTATACATGCCTAGTGCTTGTGGGCTCCAAAAGGATGGAAGTACAATCATCTGCCCTAGAAAGTTGGTGAATTTATGTTTCTTCTTCCCTTTCTACCAGAGAATATGAAACAGGAGCCAAAATGACATCCCGATTTGGAAAGACCTACAGCCGGAAAGGGGGAAACGGCAGTTCCAAGTTTGACGAAGTATTTTCCAACAAACGGACCACCCTTAGTACAAAATGGGGAGAAACCACCTTCATGGCCAAATTAGGACAGAAGAGGCCGAGTGTCAAACCAGATATTTCCGAAGCTCCTAAAAAACCCAAAGTTGAAGATGAGGTAACAGAGGATCCATTTGGTTTTGACAGTGATGAAGAATCTCTTCCTGTGTCTTCGAAGAATGTGACACAGGCTAAAAGCTCCTCTCAGCTGGAACCCAGTGAAGCTGCTCAGTCTGAGGACTTCACTCCTCTACTTGAAGCTAACAGCAGAATTAATCAGTCAGACAGTGGAGAACATGTTGCATCCAGCAAGTGCATAACTTTTGACAATACTGTTCCTCTCTTAAAAGAAAAGAGCACAAGCAAAACCATGGAAGATGGAGAATGCCAAGGCAGCAGTGCTAAGCTTGTAACTGCGGGTATGTTTACTCAACTGTCTATGGGGTTCTGTTATTGTCTGTTTTTTACTAATCCACATTTAGACTTTGTGTTTTCAGGGGTTGGTTAAATGTTCTAATAAAACCGTGGGGTGGTTAATTCTTAATTGTAAGAGATTGTCAAGAATATGCTATTTAACTAAAACAATCGGGAAGCATTTTGTGTTTTACGTGTTGATTTCAGGTCTTTGGCACTCTGATTCTTATGTCTGCAAATTGAAATACAGTACTTTAGATTCAACGTATTATGTTAGTCTACCTTGAATAGAATAATCTTCCTTTTCTAAAAATGTGTTCTGAGCTCAGCGCATTCGTGGTTTGGTTTGGGATTTTTTAACATGTAGTGTTTTGAAGGGTGATGAGTTGGTAATAACAGAATGCTTTAGAATAGAATTCTTAAGTTGCTGGCTTTAATTTAGTGCAGGTTCATGGTTACTACCATGCGGGTGCAGATACAGCTTACTACTTGCCTTACTTAATTATTTGAATGGAAAAAGTACTTTTCTGAACCTCAGTTGCACAAAGGTCTTTCTTTCTTTTTTTTGTTTGTTTGTTTTGATTTGGGTTTTTTTGTTTTTTTTTTCTATCGATGTGTATGCAAAAAGTTCTGGACCCATGAAATGAAATTCTGTCTAGCTTCTTCTAGGAGCTGTTTTGAGGCTCTGATGTGTTTGTAAGGTATCTTAATACTTTTCAGAGGGAAATCACAAACCCCATGGAGCTCAATATTGCTGTAATTTTGTTCAAGACATTCTTAGACAAGATCAGATGTTATTAGAGCTCATGTTTTCACATAATGGGCTAATTAAACTGCAGCTTCTAAATTGGGCAGAAGATGACATTAGATGAACCTTGATGAATATGACACCTACTGACTTGCTCTGGATTATCATAGTCAACTTTAATGACAGAATATGTAACTGAATTCTCAGATACAGTTAACGTTAGGATGAGAAATTTGAGTCTACCTGTTTAGTTGTAATACAGTGGACAAGAAGATAGTGAATAGTGGAAGGTATGCATAGCTCAGTTATTTACGAAGTAATTTTATTAGTGATGTAACACATGAAAACCAAAAAAGTGTTGACTTGAATTGTAGTTTGACAGACGCAATGGTGGGACGTGTAGCTGTCTTTTGATTTTACTCTTACTTTTGCTGCTGAAATATTTCTCATTTTCATATGTTTTTCTGTAGTTTATCTATCTGTAAGTATGATCCACCCTCACACCTTCAGCCTGGAAATACAATTTATGTTTTCCTAAGTTTGAATATAGTTTTCATGAGAGATTGAATACATTCACCCTCCAACTTTTGCAAGGCGAAGGAATAATTGCACGTTTCTTTCCTTGTTAATGAGAGTTTGTAGCACAGCAAGTTTTACAGTAAAATGGATTCCATGTAGAAAAGCTTTGTTAGAACAGTATTTTTCAGGTTGGAAAAGAATATGAGAGAGCAGTGGGAAGAAAATGTGATAGAGTGCTGAACATTCATAGTGCTTGAAAGGCCAAGAGGAACAGACAGACGTCTGCAGTTTCATTGGTGCTTCCTGGTTCCAGTAGTGTAGTAAATAATAAAATAACAGTGTTTAGCACGGGCAAATCTTTTAATTTGATGCTTGCTTAAATTCTAGAACCCCTTGTAAGGCAATACTATGTATATCATAAATATATACAGCTCTAAAAGTAAGGAAGCCAATGGATCTTGGTGGGTAGGTCCATCAGGGGCTGTTTGAGCATAGTGGTGGTTTGAATGCAGAGGAGATTACTTAAACAACAGTTTACTGAAGGAATTCTGTTCTTGCATGCTTTCCTGATTGCAGTTCATCCAGAAGCAGGGAATGATAAGGTGGTTCTTGATCTGATTAAATTATTCTTTCAGAATCTATTAGATTCAGTTTATACACAGTCAAATGAAGATTAAGGTCCATTTCATCACTTTCTTCAGAAATTAAATTCAACTGAGTATGAATCTTTGCAAAATGTTCTAGGAGGGCCTTTAAATAAGGGTGAGGGAACCAAGACTATAGCTTTTTAGTTTGGACAGTTTTTCTAAATGAAACTTGGATGGCTTAAGCAGCTATTATGTTTGTGTGTAGATTGATCCAAAATAAATAAAATTGTCTCTGAGGACATCACTCAGAACATTGAGCAATTAGAGGCAGTTGTATAATTAGCCAGCATAGATGTACATACTTCAGAAGGTTTTTTTCTGGATTGACAGTCAAGTTATAAAGTTTGGTGGCATGAGGCTATCTTCCAGAACTGGAGAGAGTTCGTTTTAGTGATTGTGGGTGAATGTATGGGGGAAGAGGGAACTTGGGGGGAGTTAAAACTAAATAGCAATAAAAATGTTGGTGTGTGATCTTCTAAGGTATGGTGTATGCACTTTTACTGTCTACATGTCCTCACCCTCGCCACAATCATTTTCTCCTTCCTGGTGACTTTTGTACTCTACTAGGTTCAACCAGATCTGTTCAGCAGGCTCTGCAATTTCTGAAAGGGAAAGAAAGGGCGGGGGGGGGTGTGGGTGTGTGTGTGTGTGAACAGAGGGAAGGGCAAGCAAATGGAACAATGTTAATATTCCCAGTGTGAAAGAGACTGCAATGTGAGCTTAACCTTAACCCACATATACCAGTATTATCTCTAGGTGTAGGAAACTAGGCTATATTGGTACTGATGTTCATGAAAGTGCTCATTAACTTGCTTAAAGTGCAGTTCGTTAGTCCTTGTCCTGATACTGACTAGACAGTGCATGATTTAAGCTCTCCTGATAGCATGTGCCATTTGTTGTATCTTAAGTGTTAACATATGTGAAATAAGGTTAACAATTAGAACAAGGCAGAAACTCTGATTTGACATGGCTTTGGTAAGCAGGGAGCTGCACTTTAACCTGCTACTTCTGCTCCATGTGTATTGTCCTGCCTCAGTGTCCATTTCTTTAGACATTAAAATAAAGGTGGTGGTGATGCAAGTGTCAGTTAATTTTAACTGATGTTTGGTATTAAAAAAGTGTGTTTGTTTGTTTTAATGTTTGTGCAACCAGATAACACAGTTGAGGATCTGTCTGTACCTTTTATTTTAAATGGCTGGACTTACTGCTTTGTTGGTTTTTTGTTCTGTTTTTAAATAGCCTTCAGCTAGTGCTGAATCTCATTTTAAAGGCTTTGAGAAGCTCTTAATGTGGAAAGCTTCTCATAATCTTACCCTAATGTTACTTGATCAAGACTTAGTACTGTCAGAAGAATGTTCATGGGTAATCCTATATGTAACAGATAATTTACCTGAGTTGCTACTATCTGTACATTAGTAATAGCAAAAGAGTATTCAGTGTTAATAGCTGCTCTTAGGTCACTTCTGTTAAAGTTGGAGGACTTGGTAGCTAGAAATAAGTTGTGTTATTGGAAAAATATTATACTGGTAATTCCTACCAAGCAAAAATTTATCAGCTTAGTAGGTGAGTTTTTTTTATGAGGGAGTCTTACATTAGGATAAAGTGAAAACCCACAGATCGATACTTATTTGGAATTATGAAAAGCCTCGGTGGGTCATGATTTTTTGGGGTTGCTTCAAACTGTTAAGCTAATTCTGTATGGCAGAGTTGTTGAGTGCAATTTACTTACCTCTTGAGGAAGAATTTCAATTTTGGCCTTTACTGTCCAAAAAATGGAGCAAGAAGTTGGGAAACTAAATGAAGTCTGAGCATTTGGCTGTCTTAGGAGACAGCTGGCAGCAACCATGATTAAAAAGACCTGCAGCTGTGCTCTATCTGACTCAAAGCATTAAGAAACTTACAGCAGAGAAGTGGAAAGGTCTGTCAGGAAATATGTATGCCCATAGAATTTCAGTGTTAGGAGGTTTCAGAAGGCAGTAGTTATGCTGGGTATATAGATAGATGGGTAAGTCCTTTCTTCTTCAGTTGTTTTTGTTATGTTTCCCCCTTTTTAAGATACTCTTTCTGCCATTGCACAGGGAATTTTCTTGCTGTATGAACAGCTCAAGTTCAGACTAATGTGATACTAGTTTTCTTTTGCCTTGGTATTAGTCTGATACTTTGCAGGCTTGGTGGTGGTTTGTTTTTTTTGGTTTTTTTTTTTTGTTTTTTTTTACTTGAATTCAGAAATCTGAAATTCAGTTTAAATTTCTATATTCATGCTGCTTTGCTGAAATAGCAATACAGGAAAAAGACCCAAGTATTTAGGAAGGAATCTTCCAATTTCTGCAACATGTTTTTCCTAATGACAAGGAAATGCATGCTGTGTATGTCCGTGGACAGGGTACATGGAACTCTTTTTCCACTCAATCTGTAACTCCCCTTTCCCAAAGAACAGTGATGATCTCGGTACCTTTTTTCAGAATCCATACTTTTAAAATATTTTTTTTTATGGACTTATACAGTGAACAATTTTTAAAAGGTTTAAGTTTTGACCTTTTAATTTCTTTCATGCTTCAGAAGTTGAAGCAACTTTTTGTTCAAAATAGTTGGTTGTTGCTTGTAGAAGAAAACCAAACACTGTTAAATGTGCCTCGTAACCAGGCCAAAGCATGCAGGAAAGCAGAAGACAGTTGGTGAGGAAGCCATTTCAGGTTCAAACTGCTGAGAGACTATTAACTGCATGGGAAATGGTTTTCAATTTCAAACTTAGCTCGTATTTTCTTCTAAGAAACTGCTGCTGTGTTCAGTAAAGGGTTTCAACAAACTTGAGTAGTGTCTGAATTCAGACTGACTTAGCCCAAGGACACATTTGTTTTAACAGTTATTAGTGCTGCTATGTTATAATATGCTTTAATATTTTTTTGATGAGGGCTCATGCTACAAAAGTTGGTGAAAACAAGCTTTTTTGGCACCTGACATCCCCTTGTTTTGCCCATGACAATTTGTCGTCTTTTCCCTGCAACGGGGAAAATAATTAACTTCCTGGATTGGCTTTCTTCTGCTGTTCTGAGCAGAAGATGCCCTTCAGAGCTACCAGTGAGGAAGAATG